GTGTTGCCAAAGAATCAAACTTCTCTGCTAGTGGGGTGGAGGTTCTTGGGGTATCGCTGAAATAAGAATTCTCCAGAAGCCCCCATGGAGGATGAGATGTGGAAAAGAGCTTTATTGGTGTGAGGTTACATTCCTTGGGTGCCAAAGTCCCCTGCCCCTTAAGCAGTCCTGGAAAAGGTGCAGCCGGGGTTCCAGCAGAGCCAGAAGCAAGGCCAGTGTCCAGAGCTTCCGTTCCGTGTTGTAGCGCAGTGTGGTTCAGCACTCAGGCCAGGTTTAGTCCCTTAGGCCACTGTGGGAGTCCCACGTCGCCCTGAGCCATGCGGCCGCAGGGGATCGCAGCCCCTGCAACAGGAGTCCCAAGGGGTCCCAGCCTCTGTGTGTGTGTGTGTGTGTGTGTAAGAGAGAGAGAGAGAAAGGAGGAGAGGGAGGGGGCGGGGAAGGGAGCCTGTTCCTTTGTTTAAAGGTTTAAATATTCAGGTTTCACCTGCGTGCAGTAGCCATGCCCATTGTGCCCACTGACTGGCTTCTAGGCGTGACAGGTAAGCATCTTCCCACATCACTCAGACCTTACTGGGCACGCGTCTAATGTGGTCTCTTCCCCCATCAATAAGCGGGGAACAGACTCGGAGAGTGTTAAATGCAGCTTTTGGGCAAAGCTGTATAAATGGCATGCCTGTATTATTTTGCCTTCCCTTGCCTCCTTTCCTGTGATTACAAAGGCATCATAAAGGTACAGTAGTAACTTAGCAAAGGGCTCTCCTCATGCTGTTGACACATGTACAGAATGTAACATGTCCCACATGCTCAGAGAAGAGAACCTGAAAGATCAACTATAGGCCTTTAAAACTCCACTTCATTCATTTCCCTTTCAGTTTTCACCCTCACTCAAAATCTCACATCTACACCATCTATTAGTCTTCCCTCTTTCATCATAATCATCTTTATCATTAAAGGATTAATTGTGGACTATGTCTAACTTTAAGTTATTTATATTGTATAGTAGTCCCTGCTACACTCATACAATTGTGTATTAAATTAATAAATACTGTATTTTGCATCACTCCTTAGTATTCTCTAAATAAGTAATTCCACAAGATAGAGGCCACAATTGAATATGAACTAAGTGCAGATGGTTAAGTGAAGAAAAAAGGTAGAAAGTGTTCTTCCCATTGGAATAAAATATTCTAATATGTAATATTAATATGATAGACATATATGTATGTCTATGTTAGACATGTATGCAGTGTGTGTGCATATGTGTATGTGTATATGTACATATATGTATAGCCCTTTAAGCTTTAGAATATGAATAACTTTTATTCTTGACAAAAACACCACCAACAATTTTGGAATAAAAAATAGATTTTAAGTGATAAACATGTCAAAATATTTGAAGAAGAATTGTAAGAGAGTATACTTGACATACCAAATATCAAATAAATTATGCCACTTCAATAATTAAAGCAATATAATTGATTTCAAATATTACAGTGAAAGTGTATAACAATCTGTTATATACATAGTCTTATTGTGAGGTATGGATGACCTTCAAATCTGTCTATAAACATAAATATTAGTAAATATTTTTGGATGGGAAGAATTTTTATGCAGAGAATATATTGAAAATAGATCTTAAATGAACATAGATGTAAAACTGAACAAAATCTTAGGGACTCTGGCAATGCTTATTGGGACCGAATTTCTAGAGTGTAACTCAGCAATTTGATGATAATCTTTAAAATTGCCTTTAATTTGATTTAATAATTTACTTCTTGGAATACTTCCTAAGGACATAAGTAAGGGTGAGATGGCTTTTCAAGAATTAATTATCACATAATTATCTATTATTTCAAAATCTTATAAACTAAATATCCAACAATAGGTTTGCTTAAGTTATTATATAATCATATAAGAAAATTATGCAGAGCAAAAAATTTTAATACAGATGTATAGTTATTGACCTATATTTTATTGTAAAAACCGATTGACAAAGATTCAAGGTATATATGGATAAATAGATAGATGATAGATAGAGACCACATCTTCTTTAGCCATTCATCTATTATGAACACTTTGGTTATTTCTATACCTTAGCTATCGTAAATAATGATGAAATGAAATGAATGTAGGGGCACATATATCTTTTCAAAGTGTTTTCATAGTCTTTGAAAAAATACCTAGAAGCAGAATTGCTGGAACATAAGATAGATCTAGTCTTAATTATTTTTTACATCATCATTTATTCGCTCTATACCCCCTTCCACCACCACCACCACCCTGCAATCATCACACTGTTATCCATGTCCATGAGATCTATTCTTAAATTTTTAAGGAATTTCCATGCTGTTTTCCATAGTGGCTGTACCAATTTACAATCTCACTGACAATATGAAAGGGTTCCCTTTTCTCTGTGTTCTCTCCAGCACTTGTTATTTCTTGTCTTTTGGATAATAAACATTCTAATAGGTGTGAGGTTATATCTCATTATTGTTTTAATTCACATTTTTCTAATAATTAGAAAAATTTTGGCCATCAATATGTCTTCCTTGGAAAAATGTCTATTCAGATCCTATGTCCATTTTTTAATCAGATTTTTTGTTGTTGAGTTGTATGAGTTTTTTATATATTTTAGATATTAACCCCTTAGCAGAAGTTCATTTGCAAATGTCTTCTCCCATTCAGTTGGTTGCCTTTTTGTTTTCTTGATGGTTTCCTTTGCTGTGCAGAAGCTTTTTGTTTTGGTGTAGTCCCATTTTATTTCTGCTTTTGTTTCCCTTACGTTTGGACTCAAATTAACAAGATACCACTAAGACAGATGTCCAGAAATTTTTTGCTTATGTTTTCTTCTGTGTGTTTTATTGTTGCAGGTCTTACATTCAAGTCTAATTCATTTTGAGTTAATTTGGGTGTATGGTATGAGACAGTGGTTTAGTTTCTTCATTGACCCAATAGCTGTTCAGTAGCATGTTGTTTAATCCCAACGTATTTGTGATTTTTCCAGCTTTCTTCTTGTTGATTCTAGTTTCATGCCATTGCGGTCAGAAATGATAAACAAAGTAAGAGGATTAATTCTACATATACAATCATGTTTTTAATAGCAATATTTATAATAGCACCAAAATGTACACCAAATCTAGAATAAATAATTTATGAAATATCAATATAATGATGTACCATGAAAATGAACAAACTACTCTTAAATTCAATAACAAAGATAAATACTGAAAACATAATGTTGAATTAAGATGGAGGGGGTATAAAAATGTATTTGTTTTGCCAATATTTCTAAGGATTCTTGAGAGTAATATTCTGCCATTTGACCTAGGTAGTGGTTGAGTTCACAGTATGGTATTTCATAGAGCTTTATTCTTTACCTTCTTCAGCATGCATGTTATAATTAAATTAAAGGTTTATATGAATATTGGGAAGACAGAATATCACATGTCCATGATATAGAATGCCATTGATAGGTGAAGGTTATAGTACGTGTACTATCATCTCTGAAAGGATTATAATAAAATTATTTGCTTGGTAGTGAAATAGATACATTGATTAGGTAAGAATCTATCAACTTTTTTCTGTAAAGAGTTAGTAAATATTTGGGGCTCCTTGGGCCTTAGAGTTTTTGTTGCAGCTATTGAACTGTGCTATGAAAGCCACAGACTATGTGTAAAGAAATGTGTGGCTCCGTTCCTGTTAAACTTTACTTACAACGTGGAGGAAGGCAACATTTGGCCTTTATGCCAAAGTTTTCACTCTCTGGATTGGATGATTAAACATGGCTAGAGTAAGTGAGACATGCATAGCTACATGTTAAAGTATTGTCGAAGTATTTTTTATCTCATCTTTCTGAAATATGGGCACATGAAAATTATTACTGGGAGTTGCCTAATTAAGTTATATTTGCTTTATTAATTTTTAAAATTTTACATGCTTTGCATCTTGATATGATTTATATTACTACAACTAATTACTCATTTCAATATTACAGTTTTTCAACACTGAAGTTATATTATACACTAGATTCAGAATTCCTTCCCTTACCCTTGGAAGATATGTTCCAAAATCCCCAGTGGATGCCTGAAACTATAGACTGTACCAAACTATATGTATACTATGTCTTCTCTTATACATACATACATACCAATGATAAGTCTTAGTTTATAAATTAGGCATAGTAAGAGATGAACAATAACGAATAATAAAAATAAAACAAATATAACAATATACTATAATAAAAGTTATGTGAGTATGGCCTCTCTCTCAAAATATCTTGTATTCTATTCCTCCTGCTTGTAATGATGTGAGATAATGCAATGCCTATGTAATGAAATAAAGTGAAGTGCGTGGCGTAGTCATTGTGGCTTAGCCTTAGGCTACTATATGGGCTCCTTGAACACAAGTACGGCTGTACCGGGACATTAGGCCTGATAAGCAAGATTGCTACTCACTAATGGGCAAATAGCAGATGTAGCTTGAATACACTGGACAAAGGGATGACTCATGGCCCATGTTTATTTCTGGTACTTTCCGTTTAATACTTCTGGACTGAGGTCGACGATGTGACTAACTGAAACCATGGAAAGTGAAACTGCAGATAAGGGACAGTACTGTAACCATATATGAAACCAATACTTTTCAATATTTTTAACTCACAGAAAATTTAACAATATAAAAACTAAACTAGAATATTATACTCTCATGTCATTTTAATCACTGTTGAAAGAGATCTGTTTATCATCAGGATTTATTTATTTTATTAAGTGATTGCTACAGTTTGTGTGTTTTTTTTGTCAAAATAATTTTGTATCTGTGTACTTAAAGTATTAAGGCTTTCTAATTTAGAACAGATTAATCTATTTCTGGCGTTGTTGGTTTTATGGTGAGATTATCTATTTACTTAAATCTTTCTTCCTTTGTTAATAGCTTAATTAATTGGTCAGACAAATGTTTACACAACACATACTAAAACTATACATTTCTTTCCTAAATGGTTATAGGCAAGAATTGGACCCATGTAGAGATGAACTGACTATTCTAGGGAGGACTATAAGAGCGAGCGAACCTGTCAATCATGTGTCTGGAAAACCCCTGCCAGAATCAGGATCTGTCTTTATCGGTGGATTTCCAGATCTTCATGGAGCAAACCAGGTATTTCTATTTATGTATTTATTATGTCGTTTTATGAAGAGAGATAGGAAAACTTCAGAAAAGTTTTCTGGTTAATGGGGCCATCTCCATGGTTTCAAAAAAGAAATTATGAGCCATTTAACAAATATTAATTTATCCTACCTAAGTATACTAAAAGTTTACTGCTCTCATTTTATAGAAATGCTCCACTATCTATCTATGGCTATACCACATTTCATGATAATATTAACCATACGGGCTTTTGTTCAGTCCCATGCTAGTGGTCCATGGATATATGAGAGGGTTAGCTTAATAACATAGCAAAAATATGATTTAAGAAATGGAACTGGAAGACCATTCCCAGTCTCTGCTTCATGTAAGGTCACTAAAATATAAGAATGTTCTCTACAGAGTTTTGTTCATATGCCAGCCCACTCTCTAAATTTCCATTTAGATAATTAGTCTATTGTCTTCTTTATCAACCTGTATTTTAAGATAAGAGCATGCATGCTGACTTAAATGTTATTGATTTTTTTGCTTCATTTTATGTTATTACAGAGAACTACTTTAAAAATTTATGTTGCTTAATACATTCATGAATCTTCTCTCTTACTATATTTTCCATTGTGCTTGACATATAACTATATATTTCTCAAATAAAAGGTGGGTTTTTCATATAAATTTAATTTTTGTGAGCATACATTAATTAAATACAAGTTCTCAAGACTCCAGGAGATAAACAAATATCTCTAATACAGTTAGGTATTTAGTCTAATAGAAATATAAACAATATACAGAGGCAATGTAGAAAAATAGAAAAGGAAGGCTCTTGGTCTCCCTGGAGCAATAAGGTAGTTTGGAGTTAGAGATCCTAGGGATGATCAAGTGTCTACCAGGTAAATAACATGTAGAATGTCATTACAGGCAGATGAAGCAACATACACACAGAGGTATAGGTAATGGAAAGGCTTAGAAGAGGGGGAGTGGGAATAGAAATAATTTATTATTGCGGAGACATGGAGTTTGATATGAATTGAGCAGGAAGAAGACTTGATGTTGGGAACGTGAGCAAGAGCCTGAGAATAATGGATACTGTATAAAATACAAAATAGTATTTATATGCTGGTGCCTAGAGGTGCCATTTAAGAAGTTTTAACACAGAGTAATATTATGTAATTTTCACTTTAATAGCAGCTGAGTATAGGATTGGAGGGGTTTAGACTACCTGTCAAGAATTGTTAAAATAGGGTAATAGGAATAAAAAATAATGGGGCAATAAGAGTGAGAAGATGACTACGAAAGCTATTAAACTTGTAAATAATTATAGGTAAAAATAATAGAAAAATTTGGAATTTGAACGACCCGGCTGGCTTATATAAGTAGAAAATTTATATTAATTAAGATGTGGATTTTAAGAGTATTTACAGGGAAAGATGGCAGGTTCATTTTTGCATTTGAGTTACTTTTGGACAGGGATCATTTTCAAATATTTAACTGGCTTGCTATTACCACTAACCCATCAGTCCATTTTATCAGTACATTCCTGCTGCATACCATTACCATCAATGGGACACTGTAATATAAAGTAAGTCATTTGAAATGTGGGCCTTGAGTTCACCAAATCAATTTTTTAAATAGCCCTATTAACATAGGATATTCTTTATTTATTTTTTTAAAATATATATTTATTGATTTCAGAGAGAGGAAGGGAGAAAGAGAGCGAGAGAGAGAGAAACATCAATGATGAGAGTCATTGATCGGCTGCCTCCTGCACGCCCCCAACTGGGGATCGAGCCCGCAACCCGGGCATGTGCCCTGACCGGGAATCGAACCGGGATCTCCTGGATTCTAGGTCGATGCTCAACTGCTGAGCCACGGAGGGCTGGGCAAGGGACATACTTTAAAGACAGGGGGAGAGGAGGGGGAGAGGAAGAGGGATAGACGTTATCTAGTGGAAGACAGAATCTCAAAACAGAGCTGCATAAATATGCAATTTACTGTATTCTAAACAGTTTTTCTCTCTAAAATTTGTTTGAAAGGACTGGCATTTACTAAGGGATTATCTCACTAAAAACTTGATATTCATCCTGTGATGTGGAGCAACTCAGCATGTAATCAGATTTAGAGTAAATTCAGTGTGGAAGAGTGAAGTTACCTTGAAATTAAAAGGACAACCAATTAAGCAGGTTTCCCCTCCTTGTGAAAAATGCTGTATTTAAAAGATTTTATGTCAGCACCTTATTGATTTTTTATACTTTCCTTACATTGCTACTGTGTCACAGTAGCTCTAGGTGTGTGTACAAGTGTGCTTGTATGTGACATATACTTACATTGCTATGCACTAAATGATTGATAAAAGTTAATTATAACATATAGTCGTATGATAATACTTAAGGAGAAATCATCTGATAAAACAGAGGGAAAAACAACAACTTTGTGAGCATGTTTCTGTACAGTGCAGCCCCTTGAACATCTAAATATCAGGCAGGCTCTGACTACCTAATTATTGTGTTCTGATTAAGAGCTGCTGTTTAAGCACAGTGGGTTGTCAGTGCTCAGAAAATTAAAAACAACAGGTTTGCAGTATAAAACACTAAGGAAGAGAGCTATAGTTGATTTCTTGAGCCAATGAATGTTAAAATATAATTATTCTCTTGACTCTAAGTTTCCAATAATGTCTGTCTGCACTGGCCAGAGCCCCTCCACATAATGAGTCTCTAGTCCAGTGTGTACATGCTGACAGGTTGTTTAATGTTTCCTTTAACAGAACCACACAGAGCTCAGTATGTGAGGAGAGAAGGAAACAGTTAGACACTTTCAATTTTGTGCCTGAAGTGTGAAAAACTCTAGGTCCCCTGATGACCACATGATAACTTCCAAATTCCGAGAGTAAATGCCCTCTCTCTGGTGGCGGGAAAACACTTTCCTCCATAGTATCTTCTTTAATTGCTTACACTTTAAAGTGCATGGGCTCCTGCTTTTGGGTCCAAGTTGCTAAATGACGCCAAACCTTAATCCCTTTTTGTTTTTTGTCTTATCTAGTTTCTTTCATCAATGTTTATAGTTTTCTAATTTTCTTGTTTATGTAGTCTGCGGTTCGTGTATAGAAAAACAACTGTTTTTTTAATGTTGATTTTGTATCCTGCAACTTTATTGAATTGGGGTTTTTTAATCTTTAGAGTTTTTTAAATATGTATCATTTATATATAAGATTATATTGTCTGGAAATGTGGAGAGTTTTACTTCTTCCTTTCTTATTTGGATGCTTTTTATTTCTTTTTCTTGTTAAAACTAGAAAACTTCTAGTAGTATGGTAAATGGATATAGCAAGAGTGGGCATCCTTGCTTTATTTTTTATCTTAAAGAAAAAGTTTTAAGTTTTTCATTGTAGGGTTTGGTGTTAGCTGGGAAATTGTCAAATATGGCCTTTTTTGTGTTGAAAAATTTCCTTCTATTCTTAATTCATTGAGTGTTTTTATCATTAAAAAGCGTTGAATTTTGACTAATGTTTTTTTTTGCATTTATTGAGATGATACGATTTTTATCCTTTATTCTGTTAATGTGGTGTCACAATTGCTTTTTATATGTTGAACCATTCTTGCAGCTTAGGGATAAATCCCACTTGTTCACAGTATATGAGCCTTTTAATGTGCTGTTGATTTTGGTTTGCTAGTATTTTGTTGAGGACCTTTACATGCTTGTTCATCAGGAATATTATCCTGTAGTTTCTTTCTTGAGGCGGCTGTGTCTGGCTTTCATGTCAGGGTAATGCTGTCTCCCTGAAATATGTTTAAAAATGTTTCCTCTGCTTCAGTTTTTTGGAAGAGTTTAAAAAGAATTGATGTTAATTGCTCTTTGAATGTTTGATGCAATTTACCAAGGAAGACATGGGGTCCTGGGCTTTTCTTTTTGGGGGAGGTTTTTGATTGCTAATTCAGTCTTCTTACCAGTTATAGGCCTGTTTAGACTTTTTATTTCTTTATGATAGATTGTGTGTTTTTGGGAACTTACCCATTTATTCTAGGTTATTCATTTTGTTAGCATGTAATTGTTAACAGTGTTCTCTTATGATACATTTTATTTCTATAACATTTGTAATATTTATTTCATTTCTGACTCTATGTGAGTCTTCTTTTTTTTTCTATAGTCTGTCTAAGGTTTTGTCAATTATTTTTTAAAAACCAACTATTAATTTTGCTGATTTTATTTCCCTATTGTTTTACAATTTCCTCTTTGGTCTATTTCTCCTCTAATATTTGTCATTTTCTTTCTTCTGCTACCTTTGCTCTTAGCTTATTTTATATTTTTCTAGTTCTTTCAAATATAGCATTAGGTTGTTTATTTGAGATCTTTCTTCTTTTTTAAAGTAGATGTTTCTCTCTGTTAGTCCTGCTTTTGCTGCACCTTATATGAACAGGGTAACTACAATGTAATGCTCTATGACCAAATCCTGTTCTTTAAAAAGTTACAGTTAGGTAAATATTTCTACATGAATAAAAATATTTTATATGCATATATATGCCCTTTCAAGAAACAACTTGGATTGGTGGGAAAATTACCAGACTTGAAATGAGGGCACTTGATTTTTAATCATATCCCTACCAAAAATAATGTTTTATATACCAAAAATAATGTTTTATATTGTTGACCATTATTTGAGATCTCTATGCCTCAAACTTCTCTTCTATAACTGATGATGTTAGACTACATTATCTTTTAAAGTCTAGTCCAGTTCAAAATTCTGTGGTTCTATGCTGATTCTATTAGTGTAGATAAGTAGACAGACAGAAAGAGGGAGAGATAAAACATTTAGTATAATATATAATACTAAATAGTATATATAATATACTATTTATTCAGTATGAATTACACAGATTTTTTTTAATGTTAAGATGCTATCCCAGTCATAAATTCTATTATATTCTGTTTACCTGGATCACCTGACTTTTCTATAATATTCCTGAGGACACTTTCTTGATAGACTCCCATCTGGTGTTCCTTATGTTCCTGCCTAACTTTCC